CCTTATGGCCGTTATCGGACCTATGGGAACTATGGTCCCCATAAGACCCGTGGATAGCTCCTCTGAGCCCCGACGGCCCCGCAAGCGCTGTGAATTGAATTGGTTTTGAGGGCCCTGTGAAACACATGGATATTGAAACTGTGGGCCCCACTAACTGTACGAGCACCAGGGGCTCCATAGGCCGCATGAACCCTCTCGGCCGTATGGGCGCTATGGGCCTGACAAGCAGCATCATCATGATGGGACTACGTGCCCCATTTGCCCTGCGAGCCCTATGGGCCACATGATCCGTCTGGACCATACCAAGCTCTGCATTGCTATCCGAAGCATTCCTGAACTGCCAAGATGGACCCTAGAAAGCCTGTTCCTGCTCCTCCCCAGCCCAGGACGGCCTCAGTGAGGCCAACGAGAAGTCCTGCAGAAATGAGGACGAGAGGTGCGACATGTGACGGCCTCTCGGGCAGTGCTCGATGGAGCCTCCAGGGAGACGCTAAGGAGCGTCAAGGGGCATCTAAGGAGCATCTGAGGAGCCTCTAAGACATGTGATAAATTGCATACGATTTACAGCTGGAGAATCCTAAGTACCAGGAAGACCCCAGCTTACCTGAAACACTTTTACCCGAAGCCCGGCCCCAAGCGGGCCCCAAGAGGCCCACAAGAGGCCCTCCTCCTCGGCCTCTTCATCCTCCCTTTACTTCTTGGCGAGGTTGTGGCATCCCAACCAGGAGTCAAGAGAAGACCGTGGAGAATGGACGAGCAAGCTGAATGCAAGCAGTGTGCCCCTATCTACGTATGCGTCGAGATCCCGATGGTGAATGCGAATATGTCGAGCGTCGGCCACGAGCGCCCGAATGATGTATCTTTCCATGCGCCTTGCTGCAGCTGCGACTCGAACCGGCACTTGAGCCCAGGAGTGTTCCCCAAAGAGTTACCACAACTGCTGGGGGGAGCACATAATCCAACAGCTTGGCCAGACATTGGCCCAACATTTGGCCAAATAGGCGCTTCCAAAAGGCAGGCGGTGATTCGCCGTAAACATCTTCGATACCGACCGACCGCTCCAATGTTCTGCACTCCCGCTACGCAGGGCCCGTCCAACTCGCATGTTGGGGTCTGCCCGACCAACCCGTTAGGGTACGCCCATTCGCTCTTGTGACCCGGCTGCCCGACCCGCTCACTAGTGTCCGCCCGCCCGACACACCCATTCATGCCCCCCCGCACGACCCGCCGCACGACCCGCCTGTCAGGGTCTGCCCGCCCAACTCGCCCGCTAGATCCGCTCAGCCCGACCGCAAGGGTCCGTCCGCCGAACCTGGGCCGCCCGTCTGCACCTTTGAACGCCGCCCCCCCACACGACCTGCCCGTTACGGCTCACCTGCCCGACCCACCCGTCGGGGAAGGTCAACCCGATCGATTCACCCGCTGGGGCACGCCCACTCTTTTACGTCGAACGTGGGTGCCCACTTGAATGTCACGTCCAGCAGCTCCCCTCGATGAGGTCCGCCAGCCCGACTCGCCCCTTGGGGTCCGCCCGACCCACCTTTTATCGGGGGCGGCCATTAGAGTGGCGTCCAAGAGAAAGGGGTGCAAATCATGGCTGGCGGCACGTGCGCGGCCCAGGGGGGGACCAGGGAACGTATTGAAATAAGAAGAGGCGTCATGAAATCTGGGGAAATTTCATGGCCACCGCCATGATATCCACCCCCCCTAGTCATCACCCCCCTCTTTGCCGCCCCCGATTTCAGGGACCGCCCGCCCGACCAGCCCGTCCCGGTCCGTCCGCCCGACCCACCCGGCAGGGCTCGCAGGACGACCCCGTTCGGGGCCGTCCGCCCCATCCGCCCGACTGGGCCCGCCTGCCTGGCCCCCCCCCAGCTGTGGCCCACGCGCCCGCTGCGACCCGCTGACCCGCCCGTTGGACTCCGCACACGCCAGGCTTGCCAACCGCGAGGCTCCGCCGGCCCGACCTGCCCCTTGAGGCCATCCTGGATTTGGAGAGGGTCCGCCCGGTTCCCCCTCCTCCTGCTCCATGAATTTTCCTTATAGGTAACTCCTACCTGTCCACCCCAAGACCAATTTTTAGGGCGGCCCGGGCGTTTCGCCTGAGACTTCCTCACCAGTATGATTCTGGAGCTTAAAAAATCTCAACAGCTTCACAAATGGATGGCGGGTAGTTTTCAAAATGTGGCTCTCGCCCTAGCGCCGCGCACATTCGTTTTTTAATTTGCAAGGGTTTCACGGATTCAGGGCGGGTGACTTTCAAAATGTGGCTCTGGCCTTAGCGCCGCGCACATTCGTTTTAAACATATGCAAGGGCTTCACGGATTCAGAGCGGGTGGTTTTCAAAATGTGGCTCTCGCCCTAGCGCCGCGCACATTCTTGTTAAAAACTTGCAAGGTATTCACGGATTCAGGGCGGGTGCTTTTCAAAATGTGGCTCTCGCCTTAGCGCCGCGCACATTCGTTTTAAGAATTTGCAAACGCTTCACGAATTCAGGGCGGGTGGTTTTCAAAATGCGGCTCTCGCTTTAGCGCCGCGCACATTCGTTTTAACAGTGTGCAAGAGCTTAACGGATTGACAGCGGTTTTCAAAATGTGGTTCTCGCCCCAGCGCCGCGCACACTCGTTCTAAAAATTTGCAAGAGTTTCACATCTTCCCATGATCAACGTACCAGACATGGCGTTTTGGAAGGATTCTGGATAACGCGGGCGCAACAGTTATGTTGATTCGCTGCGTCGAAGTCCCAAAAATGGCGTTCTGGCACGATTCTGGATCGTCAAGACGCAGCAGACAGGTTGACACGTGGCGTTGAAATCCCGAGAACAATATGTTGGCACGCTTCAGGATCTTCAACTGTTGTCTTCCAACGAGGCAGTTCCCTCAATGGAAATGAACCGTTGCAAGGGCCTACGAAGAGGGAGCTTGGAGGGAGGGTTAATTCCAACATCGTTGATGACTCTTGGGTTTCCGCTGGTCCTCCTCCTCCTCCTCCTCCTCCTCCTCCTCCTCCTCCTCCTCCTCCTCCTCATCCTCCTCCTCCTCCTCCTCCCCCGCCTCCTCGCCTGGATCGGCCGTGAGGGTCCTCCCGCCCAGCCAGCCCATCGCGAGCATCCAGACCGCCCCGCCCGTTGGCCGCCCGCCCGCCCAGCCCGCCCGTCGAAGCACGCCCGCCCGACCAGCCTCTGCGGCCCGCCCTGTCGAGTTCGCCGCGGCGCAGGCTTCGCAAGGCGCAGGCTTTACCTGCTCGCGTGCACCCTCGCAAAAAACTTCCCATCCATCCACATCCACATCTGCTCCCCCTGCCTCGCGCTCACGACGGCGCGTGCCTCGAAGGGCGCAGCTCTTCTCTACTTGGTTGCTTCCCCCACACTCGACACCTCGCCGAACTGACACATGGATTAACCATACTCCCTCTGCCTCGCCCTCGCAGCGGCGCGCGCTTCGCAGGGCAGGTATCCTCTCTACTTGTTTGCCTCCCCCCAGCATGGCTCTTCAACGATCCAGGTTCGAACTTGCTTTTCTGCCTTGCGCTCGCCGCCGCGCGTGCTTCGCATGGCACATATCTTCTCTAGTCTCCTTGTTCGTCATCCTCAAACCTGGTCCTTCAACGAACAGTGCTTGCGTGTGTCACATTGATTTGTCCCCAGCTTTGCGCTCACCGCAACGCGCACTCCGCACGGCGTAGGTATCATCTACGTGCGTGGTTCCTATGGCATTGCCCTTCAGTGAGCGGAAAGTGCATGACATGCGCAAGTTTACCATACCTCGAGCTCGCCGCAGCGCGCACCTCGCAGGGCGCAGGTGGAAGTTCATCGAGACAGGAGGCTCGCCAGAACGGTCCACCCACGAAGTCAAACCAAATGTGCGTATGCTTGGATCTAAGCAGGGCCCAGCAAACCAACACACCAACAGTCAATCGACCAATCAACCAGCCAATCAACCAGCTTGCCAGCCAGCCAGCCGACCAGCCAACCATCAAACCAGCCAATCAACCAACTGGCCGACCGAACAAACAGCCAACAGAACACCCTGCCAACGAGCCAATCAGCCAACCAACCACCCAGTCAACCAACCGACCAGCCAGCCAACCGAAAGAAGCGAATCACACATGGTTTAGTCCACAAGTTTGGTGGCACGTAGAGAAGCATGATATGTGGTTTTGTCTTCTGTACTGGCACAAGGTCTCGATAAGTTCGCCGCGGACCTCAAGTTCCGAGTTTGCCTTCCTGGACTTTGCGGCTCAACTGAACCTGACAAGATCTTGTATCCAAGTCGCCACTCGGCTTCGGCATCAAGTGCTGGTTGGGTCACACATCGAGCTCGGATTGCTCCCTCGATATTCGCAGTTGGAAGCTACAAATCTGCCAGGAACTTCAATTCGAGCCAACACCGAGCTCTGGACTGAAGAACCGATCCTGATCAGATCGCCGTCGATCTTGCATTCATCCATCTACATTCATGCACCACACTCAAGGCGTTGAACCTTGGCCGCCACCAGCTTCGATTCAAAGTCTTGGTAGGTTCAACCAAAATTTGGGATCCATCGTCGACATCTGTACTGCGATGCAACTGATTCGATCAAAAGCTGCAGCCCAGTCCACCACCAGCTCGATTACATCCCCGAGTACGTTCGTTGCCGACCTGGCTTGCGTTATCCCTCGTCCTCTGCGATACGACGCAGATGAACCTAGCAAGAACTTCAACTGGGGACGGCATGAGCTCAAATTCAAGCGAAGCTAATGTTCCTCGATCGGCTCTGTGATGATGCCAAAGTCAACATATCTAGAGAGTGCCTCCAACACGCCACCCAACTCTGGCCTGAAGCTTCATCAACCATCCCATGGAGCGAAACCGACTCCAGGGTCTAGGTAAATTCGCTGCAGAATTGTCGTACATACCAAGTCATCCGCACTGCGACGCACTTAGGGCTATTAGTACTGATCCGGAATCGCCACTGCCGAGGGAGAAAGCGAGAACGCGTGATCACGGCGCCACGGAGCCTCGAGCGACTTTGGCGGCTTCGGCACGTAGAGGCGCGCAACCATGGCGTCCAGATCGAAGTCCTTCGCAGTGCGGCCGATGGCTGGAGCAACACTATCATCCATCCTCACACCCCGCCCCTTCCTACTCATAGCTCCTCCTCCTCCTCCTCCTCCTCCTCCTCCTCCTCCTCCTCATTCTCTCCTGCTACCTCCTGCTACATTATCCTCATTATCCTCCTCCCCCTCCTCATCCTCCTCCTCCTCCTTCTCTTCCTCCTCCTCCTCCTCCTCCTCCTCCTCCTCCTCCTCATCCTCATCATCCTCATCCTCATCCTCATCCTCATCCTCATCCTCATCCTCATCCTCATCCTCATCCTCATCCTCATCATCATCATCATCATCATCATCATCATCATCATCATCATCATCATCATCATCATCATCATCATACACGTCCTGATTTGCCAATGCCAGGTCGACGCGTCCAGGGAAGAAGGCAGGAACTGGGAAGGGTAGAAGGGGAGGGCAACGAGGAAGAGGGGGGAGGGCAAGAGGGGACGAGGAGGGGAACACGGAGCAACGGCAGCATTGGGCCGGCGGCATGGGAAGGTGCAGCATGCCCTGCCCGCAAATTCAATCCACCCCCCAGGCCAAGCTCAATCAAGGGGCCCAAAGACACACAAATAAATACAAAAAGATTCCCCATATTTTCATATATTTTCTGGGTTTTCGTCTTCCCCCCCATTTCCCATATTTTCCCATATTTTCCTAGGGAATCGACGATTAATTGTGTCTGTGTGTTTTTTCCCCTCCTGAACAACGTGCCCTGCCCGCAAATTCAGTCAAGGCCACGTCCAATTCAAGAACCTGGGGAAGCCACTCGCTCCGCAAACGGAAACGCACGGCGCCAAAAACCAAAGATTCAGGACAGGATTAGCACGCACAGGAGTGGCGGGCAGGGCACCATGCACCACGGCGTGATGATCGGATGAGGGTCCGCTGCTCGGGAGAAGTAGTGGTATTTCAAGCGACAGTCATGAAGTGATAACCTTCCTGTAAATGTGTACTGAAACGCCCCGCTGTCTGCGAACTCCAAAGATACAAGATTGAGGACATCAACAGAACCCTTGGACGTCCACGGACGGCAAATTGTCGCTCGCGCCAGAGGTTCTCCCCACACCCCGCCCTTGCGCTCCAAGAGCGGGGAGAAGGTCCAGCGCCGACAGGGGTCTGCATGCCGCGGATGCCCGAAGCGTTTGTTCATGTGCTCCTCCGGCCTCTGAACATGGCATGCCTGTGACCCCAGACTGTCCACTCTACTGGCGCATCGGGGGCGGCCAAGAGGGGGGCGTCCAAGAGGGGGGGACGCAAATCATGGCCGGCGGCATGTGCGCGGCCCAGGGGGGGGGAGGGCAGGGACGTAATGAAATAAGAAGAAGCGCCCATGAAATCTGAGGAAATATCATGGCCCACACCATGGTGTCTGCCCCCCCCAGTCATCACCCCCCTCTTGGCCACCCCCGAGCGCAGTGGCCGCCGCGCCTTCCGCCGGGCGCTCTGCTGCTGCTGGAGCTCCAGGAGCACCACCTCGGCGGGCCGAGCCAGGGAGTGGACGAGCGGCCGAGACACGAAAGCTGAAACGGGCGCAGCTGCTCTCCACAAAGCCTGGCCGCCGTTGCCCCCTCCTGCCCCCTCCGCCCCCGCCCAGAACAGGAGGCGACGAAGAGCAGCCTGGTTCCAGCCACCACCCTGCCGCGGACACTGCGCGGCAGACACAGACACGCCACCAACCCCGACAAGCCCAGGAGCGCGAATTACCCTGCAGTGTCGGGCAAACTCGTGAGTGTTAAGCACAGGATACCTCCTGTAGGAACATGTCGTTAAGCATGTTTGAGCATACCCTGCTCACGCACCGACTTGTGCAAAGCATACTGACTGTCCCGAACCCTACTCAGATCGCGTGGTGTGCTCATACAACGTGCTACAGATACTTGCTGGTTCCGTGCGGTTGCATTGAACTGCACGCCCGTGCTCCCGACGATCCGAAAGCGAACGCACGGCGATCTTGCATCCCCGATGGGATAGACTTCAACGGCACAATGTGTACATATGGTGTTTTTCTTTCGAAAGGTCGGATATACGTACCACTTCACTGGGAGATATACACTGACATCGAGAGAATAAGCTCCGTTCGGGGCCTCGGCATCGTCCATCTGAAATCTCCTGCGGATTGCGTTAGCACAAAACGGGAGAAAAGACATGTCAACAGATAAAGGCAAATCCGCCGACCGCCTCGGCGTGTGAGGGTTTTTTCCGTTTGAATCATCGTCGTCGCCGTCGCCACTCCTCCCCTGTCCGTGGGTCTTCCTCCTCAAGCCGTCCAACCAAAGGGAACTCGAGCAACGCCAGAATCGAGTCGAAGAGAAGCCCCTTCCCTTTGATCCCTTTCCCCCCGGGCAGGGGTGGGGGTCCACGAGGCGGTCCCGCCGGTTGGTCCCGGGGGTTGTGCGCCCCCCCCCAGGGCGGGGGGGGGGCGCCCTTCCCTGAGAGAAGTTTCCCCTTCGATTCTTGCCCCCAAGACACCTCGACTTGACTTGTACCGCGGCTTCGGCCTCAAGATCCCCCAAGACACCCCGAGAGGGTTCCAAGACAAAAGAGTCATGTCTCCGGGCACGCTTTTAAATTTTGCACTTCAGAAAATGTTCGAAGAAATCGGCACGACGAAATGATAAAGGCGGCAGCCAATGCAAAAATGAGCTGGACGTGTCAGTCACTTGCATGCCTGCCGCCCCAAGGCGGATCAGAGAAAAAAACTCCCAACGATGGCGCTGCACTGGCGGAGGACAGGTAACGGGTGCACTTGTGAACCACACGAAAACGCAGCGGCCATGAGACAACAACGCGCAAGCATTCCAATGCATCCAGGCACGCTTCTCATTCTTCAGCTCAGCGAATGCGTCTGGGAGAAACCGCACGGCGAAAGGAAAGGAACGACACCCTTTGCAAAAATATCGGTCACTTGCAGGCCTGCCGCACCAAGGCGGATCAAGGCGTGCGTGGGCGTTCCCATACCACTCCCACATCATGCGAGTGTCTTCTGAATAACGAAAGCGGCGGCAACGGCATGATCGAGATCGAAGCATGGGCCCTTGGGGCAAGGCTCCTACGGATGGGATGCGACATCAACGTTTACTGCGTCGCTCGCTGGTGCAAGGGAAGACGCATCGGCCACAGCACAATCGCCCCCGATGCTGCCGCAAGCAAACTTTCGGTGCGCCGCCGACAGGAAAAGAGGCTTTCTCGCGCCAAGCCGCACTGCAGCTACATAAACAATTGTGACGTATACCCTGTTATGTGAGGCGGCTCCTTCCTCTGAGCTGGCAATACCCACATCATGCTAGGGCATGGGTTCTCCAGAAAACAAAAGGCGCTACGCCTGTTGAAACATCGAGTTGCTTTCATCTGCCTCCCCCCACCTCCAAGAGCAAGATGGCCCTTGCACTGCGTTGGCTTCTCTCTGTGCCTCCCCAGGGCACCTGGGCAGCGCGAGTGACTCCGGCGCGCATTCGCGCAGTCGCAAAACTCGCGCACTCGATGGCCAGCGCCGCTCCGAAGACAAGTCCAGCTGCGGCGTTCTTTTCGATATTCTGAAGGACGCAACGATCGGCGAGGTCAAATTGCTCCCCATACCAGGCATTCCACAACGTGGCCGCGTAGACTCGACAACTGATGGCCCGCCCGAGGCGGCCCGGTCGCTCGCCTTTTTAAGCAGGGCCGCCTCGGTAGGGGTGAGCTGCGAGGTCGAGAGGTTCACCCTGGCCGCGTTTTCGCGCCGCTCCAGGGACGACTCGCACTGCCAACCCCGTCGGCCCTCGCTTCTCGAGCTCGAGACGGTCGCGGCGGCGGCCCTGGAAGTCCAGGGGGCCCCGAGCGCCGGCTCTGATGCAGCGGCGACGAGCATGGCCCCAGACTCCCGAGCGCGAGCTCTTGCGAAATCTTAAGAAAACTATAAGTTTTTTCAAGATTTTCAAAAAATGCTATTAAACGGGCTTCGCGCGCGCGCATGTCGAAATCTGTCGAACGCCCTTGCGCGTGTGCCGTCGCGAGAACCCCCTGCAAAAAACGGGACGCGCGCGTCGTCGCGCGCATATGCCAAAATCCTTCTAAACCAATCGGTTTCGGAAGGATTCAAAATCGTGTGTCCAAAAAACCTACAAAAACCAAAGGTTTCGCAACACGGATTTTCAGCAAAAGCGTGCGCGCGCTCTTGCGTCGTCGTCGTCGTCGCCGTCCTCCCTCCTCCCGCGTCGCCGTCGTCGCCTACGTCGTCCTCTGTCGTTCCTCGTGTTCGTCGTCGTCGTCCTCGTTGGCGTCGCGGTCGTTTCCGTCGTCGTTGTCGCCGTGGTCGTCCTTCCTCCTCCTCCCTCGTCGTCGTCGTCGTCCGTCGTCGGCGTCTCGTCGTCGTCTCTCCTATTTCGTCGTCGTCGTCGTTGTCGTCGTCGTCTTCCTCCCTCCCTCGTCGTTGTCGTCGTCGGCGTCGCCGTCCTTCCTCCTTCTTCGTCGTTCGCGTCGTCGCCGTCCTCCCTCCTCCCTCGTCGTCGTTGTCGTCGTTGTCGTCGTTGTCGCCGTCGTCGTCCTCCCTCCTCCCTCGTCGTCGCCTTCGTTGGCGACGTCGTTGTCGTCGTCTCGGTCGTTGTTTTCGTGGTCGTCGTCGGCGTCGTCGTCGGCGTCGTCGTCGTCGTTGCCATCGTCGTCGTCGTCGTGGTCGCTGTCGTCGTCGAAGTCGTTGGAGACGTCGTCGGTGTCGTCGTCGTCGGTGTCGGCGGCGCCGTCGTCGTCGTCGTCGCTGTCGTCGTCGGCGTCGGCGTCGTGGCCAAGTGCCATCTAGCACCCAGCGTCACGGTCTTGTCTTAAGAGGTTTTGCGACCAAGTTGCGGGTGGGGGGGTGGGATGTTTGCACGAGCAGTGGAGAGGACAGCTTCAAGTTGACCAAGTGATTGATTGCGCAACATAGACCACACCACATAGGTTGTAAACCGAAACTGCACCAAGCACAATGCACCACATTTGTTGCACCGCATGTTTTGCAAAACCTAGACTGTACATATATTACGTGTATACACATGCGTATGTACATCTGTAGTTTAACATCGAAGGGACCATCATGTAAAGCTGTGCCAATTCGAGCCGCCAGCGAAACAGCACCGTTGATAAGCGCATCACCGTCACGCCCCACGTGATTCCTGATGAAATCGGTCAGAGCATGAACCTCCCCCGCGACGCGCTCCAGCGGAATCTTCATTCGTCGGGCGTCCACGCGGGTGTCCGCGAGTGTTTCATGAACTTTCAGCCGGGCACGATCATCCTGAAACTCGCCAAGCTGCTCTTGGACGCCTGGAGGAAGAGAAACGACCGTTCCAGATTCCTGCTCGCCTCGGGTGTTGCGGCTCTCTACATCCTCCTTGGGACTCCGCACGACATGCTCGGACGAGACACTGTGGACCAAAGACGTCTCATTGCACTTCGGCTTTTAGCAGGAAGTTGGAAAGGGCGTCCCTGAGACCAAGGGTCGCACTGTCTTGGCAGATGCCAATGTTCAGCTCCTGCGTGACGGGAGCGGCGCCCAAGGCGCCCATGATGGCCGCGACCACCACCCAGAACAGGGTCACCATCGTCGCCAGCACCATCGTCGCGACCGTCATCATGCGCTGGATGAACTCGGGCGGGAGGGTGAGGCGACAGCCCATCTGAATGCAAGCAACCGCGATCCACAGCGATGTGGTTGTTGATCAGCTCCTTGCTCAATGCGAGCTGGATCGAGATCACGGCGAGAAGCAATTCGCGAACAGCAGCCTGAGCAACCGGGCGCACCACGATCTTGAACTTGATCTTGCAGCTGTCCAAAGCGTTTCCCATCAAAATATGGAAAAGACGACTGGCACGCAGGTGCCGCTCCAACCAATCGATACGCTCCAGAACGGGCATGCGGCGAGGCTGCAGGCGGGCGAGGGCGCAAGCGCACCCAGAAAGTAACGGAACAAGCAAATGCTTGAGCGAAATGTGTTACTCTGTACATATATATGTGTGTATATGGAGATGCACAGGTTGCATCGCACAGAGTGTGCAACAAACGTTGCACCGCATCGACTGCACAATAGAGATTGAACAACATAGATTGCACCACTTAGACTGCACCACATAGCGTGCAAACTAGATATTAAATCGCATAGACTGCACCACACGAATTGCACCACATAATTTGGACCACATCAAGTGTTCAACATATACTACATCACACAGATTGCACCACATAGACTGCACAACATAGACTGCACAACCAAGATTGAACACACATAGATTGCACAAACTCGACTGCTAGAAACACACTGCCTGGAGTCAACGATAGATAACATTGAATGTTTTCGTCGTCGTAGGAGGCCCAAGAGTACTCCAAAAAGAACCCCAAGAGTGTAAATCAACGATGCTTATTCAGTGTATGTTTTTCGTCGTCGCCGCGGTCGTCGTGGTCGTGGTCGTCGTCTGGTCGTGGTCGTGGTCTTGGTCGTGGTTGTGGCTGTGGCCGTAGTCATGGTCGTGGTCGTGGCCGTGGTCGTAGGTGTCGTCGTCGTCGTCGCCATCCTTGAGGGTCGGCGGCACCAGCCGCAAGGCCTTCGCAATCGAAAAGACTGCCGTTCCTGACAAGGACGACCTTATGCACTCCTGGTGGTTCCGTGACACGTTGTGAGACGTTGTGTGCAATCCGACAATAAATTGGTACCTGTACGACTTGAAAGCCAGCCAATCTGCGAAGACATGATAGAGAAAGAAATGCGTCGCCTGCAGAGGATCTCGAGATTCATGCACGCCTCATACCTCATGGTGGTAGTTATCATCACACTGTCTCTTGACGACACAAACCACGAGACAACGAATTACGCCATAGCATGGCAACGGGGCGGTGAGCTGGGCGGCGTCTTGGGCTTGGGCTTGTACAGCCTGTCGACCATCTGCTGCACCTCGGTCTGGGCAGCAGCCGTCCAGGCTCTGGAACCGCTGCAAGCGTCAGGCCAAGAAACCGGACTGCGGATACTCGAAACTTATTTGCTGGAAACCCAACCCTTCTGCCCGGGTCACCACACGATGCGTACACTGCGCAACCAGAATCCTGCCATCTCAGGACGGTAGGGGGAGAGGTAGCCAGGAGAGGTCCCCACTGAAAACATACAACAAAGCATCAAGCTCCAAGGTCCAATCGATTGAGGTACAGCGGCAGAAGTCATATGTTGGCCTGGAGCTCGAGGAACACGTCTTGAGAAGATTCAGACATCTCGCAGACTGACAACCCTCACGCTGTCGAACGTGACCTGGACTGGCTCTGCTGGCCCATCGGGCACGCAGGGCTGCAAATATCCGTCAGAGAAAGCTCTGAAAGACGCCCCATCGAAAAGGTTCTTCTGGCCATAGGAAGGCACCAACTATACACCAACACCGATCCTGGCCAGGATCACCCTGGGCCCAGGATCGGTGTATACGCCCTCCTGCCTTGCGCAAGAAGGCATATACACCGATCCTGGGCCCAGGGTGATCCTGGGCCAGGATCGGTGTTGGTGTATAGTTGGTGCCCTCCGAGACCAGGAGCAGCCCCCGAGGCGATTCCGCCGCAGCCGCCCGAGGGCCCGAGCAAACTCCCAGCAGAACCCGTCACCTCGGGCGGCGCGCCAAGAGGGGGGGGCAGGGCGAGGGAGACCGTCCTCCAGAAGGGCGGAGGGAAGGGCCCTCTTGGGGGGGGGGAGGAGGAGGAGGAGGAGAGGAGGGGAGGGGGAGGAGGAGGAGAAGGAAGAGGAGGAGGAGGAGGAGGAAGGAGGGGAGGAGGAGTCGGGGCGGAGACCGCCCTCTTGGGGGGGGGGGGGGGGGGGGGCGAACAGTGGCAGAAACATGGAAACCCGGAGGTCCGCGCGGATTCCTCGGATCGGCGCCGGGGCCCCCTGCCGGGCCGCGGGCGCGCTCCGCGCGCCAGGGAGGGGGGTCCAGCGCCGATCCGAGGAATCCGCGCGGACCCCCGGGTTTTTGTTGCGTTTCTGCCACTGCTTGGTCCCCTGTTCTTGGAAGCGATCGGCCCCCTCCCCCCAGGCGTAGGTCGGGCATGTCCCCCTGCAGGCGGATGTTGGACGAAACATCAGACATGACCACAAAAAAGCTTAAAACAAAATGGTCAGAAGATGATCGAAAAATCATCGCCAGACTATTTTGGGAGTAGTTTTCCACCTTCGTCCTGCAGAGTGACGCGCCCGATTTCACCCCCGGGGCTCCCGCGACGGCCTTTCGGCGGGCAGCGGGGGGGGGGCCTTCCGCAGGCTCGGCGGGGCGCCTGCTCCTGCAGAGGCCGCCCCCCTCGCGCCCCGCCCCCCTGCCGCGCGCCGCCGGGCCACGGCACGACGGCAGGCGAGACCCTCGGCGGGACTCCGCGCCCCTCTCGCCGGGGACTCCACCCACGTCAGGGCGGGCACGTCCCCCTCATAGGAAGAGGATTGTGGACGAAAAAGGAGATATTCCCAGAGAAATGCTCGAACCTGCTCAAAAAATACTTGGAAAAATCGTCCCCACATTATTTTTTGAATTCCCTCCTGTAGAGGGAGGGATGTGCCCCACTTAACACTAACGGGCACTTTGGCCAGTGACCGGGCGAATCCAATCCTCCCCGATGTGGGCGACGCTGCCATGCCAGAAAAAGGAGGCCCCAAAAGAGACAACTGTCGGCAATTGTCCAAAGTACCCGTGAGTGAGTACCCGTTACGGTGCGGCTGAGAAACACCACTGGAACCGCTGCCAGGCCAACCAGCCACAGACGCCGAAGCTCCACCCCCCCCCCCACGGAGATCGACCTCGCTTCGCCGGCGCACCACGCAGCGGGGGGCGGCGCTTTCGGCGCGCGATGCTTGCGCGTGACGGGGTCGGTCTGGGCTGGCGAAGGTGGTGGCGCCGCCCCAGCGCCCAACACGAAACGCAAGGCAGGGTTTACCCGGGGCCAGTGTAACGGAGGCAAGGCGGCGCGGCCAGGAGGGGCAGCGGACGCCAGCGGTGGGCATGAGCACCTCCTGCTTGTCCAACCGCCGGTCATCCTCCACCCGCAGCCACAGCGGCGACGGACGCAGCGGTGAGAGACATGTGAGAGAAAGAGAGAGAGGGAGAGAAAGAAAAACAAAGAGAGAAGGATCGGGGGAGCAGAGGAGCGGAGGGAGGGCAGGGAGAGACAGTGACTGTGAGCAAAAAGCAGGCAGATGGGAAGAGCATGCGACCAGATATACATATATATATATAGAGAGAGAGAGAGAGATACAAGACTGCATTGGCGCTTCGCGCCATGCACCTTGGTCCTGAAAGTTCGGCATGCAGGCGGGATGGCAGGAAGGTCAAGCCGGCAATTTAACGATAACTCCTTGTTGCCTTTTCCGGCATCGTCGTTATCTTAATGTTCTTCGTTATCCTTCCTCCATGCTTCTGTTTCTTCATTCTCGCCATACCCTGCGCATTCTCCCCATCCGCCTCAGTTCTTTTTTGCGGAGGCTCCTCCTTGGAGAGCCTCTGGAGGCCTCACGGCCTCCTTGAAGGCCTTTTGGAGGCCTCCTGGGCGTGTTCTGGGGTCCTCTGGGGGCTTCCTCGGGCCACCCTGCCTCCAACCGCGGTCTCCCTGCATGACTGGGTCACGATTTGGAATGCTTCAGAGCATGTCCTCGGGCCATCTTGGGCCGCCATGGGGCACTCTTAGGGCCATCTTGGACCCCTGTTGTGCCGTTTTGGAGCTGTCTTGGACTGCCTGGAAGCCCTTTCGGATAGTTGTCGGGCGATTTTGGAGCCTCCCAGGCGGCTTCGGAAACCCAGAAGACCGCCGTGTTGGAGCGTCGGGAAGCCGAAAAGTGGATAACCCAAAAACTCACCAAGAACCAATGGAAAATCACAGATTCTTGCCTCTTGGGTCCTTCTTGGGAGTGCTCTTGGAGGCCTCTTGGGACGTTTCGGAGCGATCTTTGGGGGTATGACGGCTTCGTGGGCGTCGTCGTGGACCGTATTGGGGCTCTCTGGGGTCGTTTCGGGAGCGTGCCGGAACGCCTGGAACCTGTCTGGGGCCGTCTTCGGGTGCTGGGAAGGCTTGGCGAAACGCCCTGCGAGGCCCGGGGGGCTGCTTCGAGGCACGTCCGGAGGGTCCCAAAGCCCCAGATCCCGGGAGTCCGGTTATGGGGGGGGGGGGATGGGTTTTCCCCCAGCCCGGGCTTATAAAAATATAGGAAGGGGAATAGGGAGAGAAGGGGGAAGAAAGAGAGAGATGTCATCAAGTGCACAGACACGCGTGCATGCATACCCACATGCCCACAAACTTGTGAAACAGCATGTACATACGTGCATATTGTACACATTCACGAGTGCGTACATCTATTTTCTCATGTAAGAAAATCATTGTCCATGTATGGACATCCGCCCGCGTGCATACAGATAAACGGAAGGTGGTGAGATCGCGGTGCTGACGACTGACTGGCTCCTGTCGAAGCGAGCTTGCGGATGCTCGCTGATGATACTGCCAGCCTCGTTCTAGAGGCTCCCATCTTGGCACACGCCTGACCATATCGATGGTACACCCCAGGTTTCTGGTCTCAACTCCCCTGTTAACGCTGGAAGCACACTTGGCGACTCGAAAGAATCGCACAGCAAGCTGTTCGCCATGTTCGGCGCCCGGGGGCCGTTTTCCAGACGATCTTGGGGAACGTCTGAGGACGGCTCGGGACGAGAAGCTGGCCCAGGGGAAGAAGTCTAGAGTTAAATCGGGCGTGTCCCTACTCAAAAAAAACAAAAATAGTCTGAGGACGATGTTTCTAGTCAGAGTGAGAGGTCCGAACGGTCATTCATTGTCCGTCCCTGGGTGCGTGGCTCTAATGCGGATCAGTGGTGAAGATTCTGCTTGTTGCTGCTGTTGTTATTGTTTGTTGTCGTCGTCCCCCCTGCGACCCACCCGCGACCCACCCGCGACCCACCCTGCGACCCACTCCGCGACCCACCCGCGACCCACCCGCGACCCACCCCGTGACCCGCCCGCGACCCACCCGCGACCCACCCTGCGACCCACCCCGCGACCCACCCGCGACCCACCCCGCGACCCACCCCGCGATCCACCCCGCGAACCGCCCCGCGACCGACCCCGCGACCCACACGCGACACACCCGCGACCCACCCCGCGACCCACCCGCGACCCACCCGCGACCCATGCGCGAACCACCCGCGACCCACCCGCGACCCAGCCCGCGACCCACCTGCGACCCACCCGGGACCCACAGGCGACCCACCCCGCGATCCAGTCACATTGCTTTACCGAAAAGATCGGCGCCTGCGGCGGGCTCAATGCATAATTTGAAAAACTTAGGCGCCTGCGGTGGGCTTCTTCAGAGCCTCTCAGACTGACGACGTCCTCGCCGCCCCCTCACTCTTATCCGCAACTGCGGGGTGCTACGGTATTTCTTGACTATGCTTGAATATGGTTTCACTATGATTCAATTTTCGCCCAAAATCCGCCTGTAGGATGACATGCCCGAACTAAGTCTAGAGCTCCGAGGGCGGACCCACGACTCGAAAAAAAACGAGTCGTCGATCTGGGCCGCGCGGTCGCGCCACGGCGGGCGGCGAGAGCTCTCGGAGCGGCCTGGAGGTGCTGCTGCTCGAGGGACCTCAGGGGGCATCCCACCTCGTGGTCGTGATCGTCTTCACCCGTCCTCCTCCTCCTCATCCTCCTCCTCCTCCTCCTCCGCCTCCTCCTCCTCCTCATTCCTCCTCCTGTTTCTTCTTTTCGTTGTAAGATTGTCATGACAATCAGTATTCGTCATATGTAGACACAGCCACTGGGGCCTTCGGTAGAGTTCCCTGTGGGGCAATGGTGTGCCGAAATGGGTGCGGTGGGCGCATGCGAACGCAGCCACTGGGGCATTCGGTGGAGCTCCCCATGGGCCCACGAAACGTGTGAGGGGGTGTGCCGACATGGGCGCGGTGGGCGCATGCGAACGCAGCCAATAGGGCCTTCTGTGGAGCTCCTTATGGGGCCACGATACGTGTAAGGGGCGTGCCGGAACTGTTGACTGGCGCGGAAGCCAAGGGCAGGGATGGGAGGAGGGAGGGGGAGGAGTAGGAGTGAGTGAGGGAGACGCGGGCACTGTTTCTTCAAAACGAGGACCTATTACCACAGGATGGTTGGGAACAAATGTGCACGCCACCCAAGCGAGAGCTCCATTTCGAAAAAGGCCCCTCTCCCGCAGCCATCATTGTAACTGCTGCAAACGTTGAGGACGAATGTGTGCGGCGCAAAAACGGAAGTTTCTTTTTGAAAACGACCTGTGCCCACTCCCTACATCCGTTGCAAGATTGTAAGACGAATTCGCGCGGCGTTGAGGCGAAAGCTACATGTTTAAAACGACACCCCCCCTATCCGTGTGACTGCAAAAAAATTCAAGCTTCAGGATCTTACGCGGTGAGGAAAAATCAAACGGAACGCCTGGCCCGCTCTTCCGACATGTCAGGATAGAGTTCTCTATAGGGACAGGGATGGAGGGCGGATGGATGAAGGGGGGGATGATGAAGTTCAAGGAGGAGGAGGAGGAGGAGGAGGAGGAGGAGGAGGAGGAGGAGGAGGAGGAGAGGGAGATGGAGGGCGGGAGAATTGGGAAGAGGGAGGGGGAGACGATCACGAGGTGGATATGTTGGTCTAGAGACGTCGGACGGGTATCGCCTGTACCGCCATCTCGTCATCGTCGTCACCCTTTCTCCTCTGCCTCCTCTGCCCTCCTCTCCTCCTCCCTCCGATCCTCCTTTCCCCATCCTTCTCCTTGTCCTATTGCGACGCATAGCAGCACCGTTGACGACATTTGCCCTGTCTAGTCATATCTAGCTAGGCACATTCTGAAAACAAAGGACCATCGCGCGAACTCGATCACTGCAACGGGGATTTCCTTGATCGGCACACCTGATCGCACATGCAGCAACCAGTCGCGCGACCCGCCTGATCATCCTCGAACCCCTCTTCCACCGAAACGTGCTCATCCTCCCTCTCTTCCTTCTCCACCCTGCTCCTCCAACCCCTCCAACCCAACGTCCTTCCACACCATCTAAGTATTCCTCCGCCTCCTCATCATCATCACCACCACCCCTACCCATGACCATCAGCACTACCATGACCATGACCAACGATCGGTGTCACCTCCACCATCAACATGTGAAGGTTTTCCCAGTCCGACACCGTGTCCCACCTCCTGCCCACGCCTCAATCCCCAAGCAGAATGCAGACCAGCGCCAGCAACCCGATCCTGGCCACGGCCGCAAGCAAGCCCTGGGCGGAAGTGCAGACGCTCCCTCCTCCTCCTCCTCCTCCTCCTCCTTCTCCTCCTCCACCTCCTCCTCCTCCTCATACTACTACTACTACTACTACTACTACGACTACGACTACGACTACGACTACGACTACGACTACTACCACTACTACTACTACTACTACTACTACTACTACTACTACTACTACTACTACGACTACGACTACGACTACGACTACGACTACGACTACGACTACGACTACCACTACCACTACCACTACCACTACCACTACCACTACTACTACTCGGTCTCGTGCACCACATCACCACGGCTCAACCGCCTTGGGATGAGCGTCCTCGTGACGGGCACCTCTTCTGGGTGAAATGGCGGGTCTGACGTGCATGCAGCGGCGGGCGCCTATCCGAGGGCAGCTGGCCCCTACGGCTCAGAGTAAAGCGACAGCGGCGGCACAGCAGCACACGGGGCGACCCCAGTACCGCCATCGAAGCCAACGAGCGCAAGTAGGCGCGAGAAGAGGCCAGGATGGCAAGCCAAAATGGCTCGGCGCACAGCGGCGGCACGGCAGCACACGGGGCGACCCCAGTACCGCCAACGAGGCCAACGAGCGCAAGTAGGCGCGAGAAGAGGCCAGGATGGCAAGCCAAAATGGCAAGCCAGAGTTGCTAGGCGCACAGTTGGCCGCGCGAGGAGCGGAGGCCTAAGCACCAGGGCCCGCGGCGCGAGGGGGCGCACCACTGCGGGCGCACCCGCGCAAGCTGGCAAGGCGGCGTTGCTAAAGCTGGAGCGCAAGCGAGCATACAGGCTCAGCACCCTTGAGAGTGGCAGGCTCGGGATCTCAACATGGGCCCACGTAGCCCCCCCGAGGGCTAAAAAGTAAATGATGATGGGGGCCTGCAGAGTCTCGACTGGAATGCACCGAACATGATACATTCAGAGCTGACTGCGAATCTTCGCGTTGTCCGGATGGCAGTGCACGGCCCAACGGCCCACGGTAGTGGGAGGTGCTGCGGGAGCTTAGCGTCCCAGACAGCGAGGGTGTTGCACCCTTGTCCTCGCTCCACAGAGCCGAAGGCGTTCTTTGTGACTGCACCGACGCCGGGGGCCAACACAATGTCAGCCCGTCGACGCATGCTGCCGCCCAGCCTCCAGAATCCTCGCCCACGTCCATTGCGTCTGGGTTTGCCCCTGCTCTGGCGTTTGCCGTTGCGCGACATACCTCTGGTTGCTGTTGCGAGCCGCAGTCTAGTAGACTACCAGGTCGCATGGGCCAATGCCCAATGAAGCCAGCAAGCTGGCGGTGAAACTGCCCAGTGGGATTGAGTACCCACAGTCAACTGTGCCTCTGCCATTCAGGATTGTCCCCGAACTGATCAAACTCCCCCTTGACCCTCCCCCTCAAGCTAGGGAGGCAGTGAACATGATATGAATTGGAATCACCCTGCATCGGGCAGTGCACTCACTGCTGGCATGTTAAAGGGTTCGACCCAGCCTGGCCTAGCGCAAATGCATCGGCCCCGACTCAACATGAGAGGTTCACTGAGGATTCACTGATGGCGTCATCGACACAGCCCTGGATTGATATAGTGCGACTACAGGAGTCGGCTCAATTGCCTGTGACCCCCCACCTTCGCGCCAGGTCGCATCGTAACCACTCCATTCGGGGTTCCCAACTATCCACCCGTTGCCGGTTGGTAGCCGGTGTTGCCGCGCAAACGGCGCGCCAAGGAGCCTAGACCCCGTTTAGTACGAGTTAAGGTTGGCTAAACCAAGGAGGTGACTAAATCCCCCTCTCGCACGACCTTCACCTCAGATGCCCCGGAATGCGGCACCAGCAGGCTCGCCACTCACCCAGGGCGGGGCGTGTTGAAGAATAAGCCTCGGTCAACGGGTGGACTCCACCTACACCCGGACGACTCCGGCGGAGGGGGGGCAAACCCCGGCGCAATGCAATGTCGTCTTCCCTCTCTCACCACAGGCATTTCCTCCTGTGGTCCTGGGACTTTACCAGGCAAAGCCTGAATTAAGTCAGAAAAGCATCGGTGGTGAAACCTGTCTCGCCCTATGCGCGCCATAACTCTGGGAGGCTCCCCCTGAAGCCCCCCCAGTCCAACAGCTGGTCATAATCCCACATGTAATCAACGAAGCGGTTCTTCTCTTGATCGCTACACCAAAACCCAGTCATCTTCAAAATCTTATCTTCATTCTGGCAGGTGGCGTTAAGACCGCGTATGTGTTCGACGAGTTCGGCTTTGTCGTCAATTTCTGAATGTGTGCGCATTTTGAGATCGCGCGTGATCTCAAAGTCACAGTCCATGGCGTACTGCAGGAAAAAGCTGTTTCCGCCCAGTGTCATCAGTCGTCTGCCCCACAACGCCGACGCCGCAGGCCTTACGAATCACTCGTCCTTCCACGGTGGCACGTAGTTCTGCATCCTCGCATGCCCTCGACATACCAGCAGAGCCTGCCAGCTTCACGCACTGCGCGCGGTCATCAGACTTGAACGCTTCCACCATTGATGACGAGCAACTAGTGCCCGCCCGTGAGAAACACCGGGCGACCTCGGGGATCATTATATACTCGTCCGTCTCCGCATCCTCCGGCATGGGCTCTAATTTAACTGCAGCCTTCAATAGACCAATTTGTGCATCAAGTCTAGCACCTTCTTCGTGGAGAAGGGCGCGTTCTTCTTATGGCTTGATACACGAAACGTGAGATCTTTAGCTCATCAGCCTTTGTCCCGTCGTAAGGTCGCTGTTTCTTGTCGATCCGCTCCTCAATAGCCTTGATCGCGTTGGCCAGCTCCTGCGCGTACACGTTGGGTTCAACTGATATAGGACGCGAAATCTTGAACTCAGCGTTCTTGGCATAAGTGAGGTCGAGTGTCTCTTTCGCGCATATGGTGGCGTGCGCGGTTGCCCACGATGCGGGGGTGGCATTGATGAACCCCTTGACCAAGTTGGCTGCACGTAGTATCCCACGCACTACCATCCCCCACAAACACGGTTACCATACGTTTGGCAACCTTCCGTGGCACCCTGCACGAACGCATCACGCGTTTAATTGCCTCCTTCAACTTTTTTACTACTAGTACTACTACTACTACTACTACTACTACTACTACTACTACTACTACTACTACTACTACTACTACTACGACTACTACTACTACTACTACTACTACTACTACTACTACTACTACTACTACTACTACTACTACTACTATACTATTACTACTACTACTACTACTACTACTACTACTACTACTACTACTACTACTACTACTACTACTACTACTACTACTACTACTAGTACTACTACTACTACTACTACTAC